CACACTCAATTTTGGTATGATAACCTTGAGCCAAGGAAGAGAATTGAGTTTTGGGCGTATCCGGAAATGATGAGTATTCTCCCATCTTCCCATGCCACCACTGAAAAGGAAAAAGTACAGCCATATCGACTGCACATGAGCTCTGGAATTTGCAGTATATTCTTGCCCAGAATCTTAGCGGTGAAAAGATATACAACCACTGAGTTGCGCTTCTGGACTCAAATCCCATCCACAGCCTTTGAAATCCCTGTAAATGACATTTTCGTGAAAAAAATTGCTAGTATATGGCCTAGTCATCGGATGCATTGCTTGCTTCCCGAAAAGAACAATAAAATTGTCATATAAACCCGCCCAGTACGGGTCACACACACATGCCCAAACCACGACCTCACCCCCATACACTCTGACAATACTACTAACCTACGATTACACCCCCCCACCACTCCCCGACGAAAACCGCAAATTACTTATCCTCTCGGCAATAGAATCGCCAACATAATCCACTGCCCCCTTGGGACTCTTAAGACTCACCGAGCCCTGCGAGGTGGAGGCGATGACACTAAAAAGTTTGACATTCGTCCCGCTCCAGATGCCGTTTATGCCCTTGTTTGTTGCAATATCGCTCGCGTAGATTAATCCCCAGAGGAGACTAATGTACCAGCCTCGCGATGAGGGGGACCAGGTGAAGGCTTGGACTTTTAAATGGGTTAGGAGGGAGGGAGAAAGGGGGGTGGGCTTACCTCGTGGGGTTTCTGGGTCAGGGAGCGCGCACCCAGCGTCGTTGCGACTCTCGGTGGCGCGGTCGATGGATGCAAAGATTTGGCGGAGGGGGAGGAGGGGTAGCCATTCTTCGAGCTATGAGGCGGATTAATATGGGGTTTGAAAGGGAAAGGGAAGGCTTACCCATGCGGATGTCGGTCGAAATGGGACTTGGGGGCCGGTGGACGAGATTGACGCAGGGAGTGCAGTTCCTGTCATTGCGGAGGTCATGCTGGTTATGGATGCGCTGCGAGAGGTAACCCGTGATAACTGGCCGCTACCCGCGGGAAGTTTACCGCGGGCTTTCTCGCTCATGCGGCGTAACGGCGTGGCTGTGGATGACTCGCCAGGTGTATCGCTACCCTGTGATGTAGAAGCTGCCATATTACTATTGGTGTCTTCCTCGTCATCGTCGTCATCGTCGTCGCCAACGGCGAATGGCTCGTCCTGGCGCGGAGAATTTGGCGGATGATTCTCGCGTCTGTTCGAACCCTCCCCACTAACCAACGGAGACCCTGCAGCAGGACTCTTACCATGTCTAGTGCCATCCAGCTCTATAAAGTCGCCCTCTATGGTCAGGTTTTGCAGAGCTTTGAACCGCATGCGGTTGCGGGCAACTACATCGACCAAACGGCGGTTCGCTTACAAGTCAGTGTATATCATGGCAGAGTAGCAAGTGACCTACATTCAGATTGCCATGCCAAAGTGGTGGATATGGCCTGAAGTAGAGTCACGAGCAGGGTGTAGTTGGTCTCTTTCTCAAGCAAGAATTTTGGGTTAGACAGCTGGATGAAGAGATCAAGAATCTTGGAGCTGGTAGCCCGCTGGAGATCCTTAACATAGGGCGATACGTTGTAGATGATGGCAAGGAAGGTCGGATAGATGGAGTCTAATCGGCCTTTGGTTGTTGTCATCAGGGTGTGGATTGTCTAAGATTGTCAGCAACCGGACACTGAAAGTTTGACAGCGCAACATACCGTGACTAGGAAGTCAGCATAGCTTCCATGAAAGTGATTAATCTTCACAGAGGCTGGCAGACTATCCTGTCCAACAAATACTTTATTCAGTCTCTTCCCAAACGAAGAGTCCACGCTGAGCGTCTGTAGAATCAAGGCACACATGCGTATTAAGCCCTGCTTTGCCGGCTCGTCCTTGTAGGCCATGGCATAATACAACACCATGACAACAAAGTCATGCACGCGATCCGTTTCGATGATGAACAGCTGAAAACGCTTGTTTACCTGTAGAAGCTCCCAGAAGAGACTCAATGCCTCACCGGCCCACGGACACTCGCGTTGCATTCCGGGGATATTAATACCTGATACTGGCTGAGTGAGCACCATGGTGATGCCTTGCTGGATAAATTGGAAATCTTCAGCTCTATGAAGGCGACCCATGGCTTTACGAAATTGGTTCGTCTCGCCTGATGGCTCTGAATATAAGAGCAGAACGAGCAAGAACTGCAGACTGGTATGCACCAGTCGAGTCCTTGGATCACCATCACTCGACCACTCGAGCGGTACGATCCAGCTTGCTGGGTTGTACTTAAGGATCGTATTGAGCAGAGAACAGATGAGGGTGAGCACAATCTGCCTGTCGGTCTTGGTTGTTATGTAAACCAAGGGCCGGACATCGGCAGCAGAAACAGCATCTGGCATGTCGGTTAAGTCCAACGTATGCACACAAAATAGGGTTAACTTACGAGGTGGAATGTACATCTGTCGGCTGCATAAACTGAGTAGCAGCCTCAAGACTTCCACGGCATTCTTTTCATTTTCTTTGGTCATTCCTGCACTATACCGACATCCAATGCCGCTGTTCCAAATGCGAAAATCGGCCCTCTGTTCCGACGAACCGTCTGTGGACTGTTTCTTGGGCAAGGTGAACCCCGGCCAGAACAAGTAGCGAACAAGAATATCAATCAGCTGCTCTCCAAGCGGTGGGTCCAGTACTTTCTCACTGGCGTGTTCTTCTGAAGGGCCATCTGATGTGAGGTCAAGATCTGCTTGAGGGTTCAAACCGTCAACCCATGATCCAGGACGATTATTTCGCTTATCCCAAACCTGCTGAGGCGTCTGCGGCTTCCAAAAAAATCGATGCTCCCATTGCGAGATGTGTTCTGCTTCGTAAATGTAAGGAAAGGCTCGGGTGAGCATGCGAATGCAATTCAAAGCTTCGAGTGAGGATGATCGTTGCTGTTCAGCATTTGCGCTTAGAGCTTGGAGATGATGGAGGCGAGAAATGCAAGTGTATACCAACGTCTCTAGGTTCTTTCTGGGATGGACTTGGGTATTCGGGAGTGGACGATCATCGGGACGAGTAAGCGTAAGCGCATGGAGATCGTTAGGTGACCAAAGGGCAAGGACGTCGTCCGCAGTTTCCGGGAGCTGGTAAAACTTGGCCCACAAAGGATCAGTGGGCGGAATGTTGTCCTCCTCGGCTAAGCGGAAGATGCCCTGTTTGAAGCCAAGTTTGCTTTCTGATGCGCCCATGTCAGAATGTAGGACTTGGTCAAGTTGTGACGGCTACCGAGCAAGGTTACGCATGTCGCACAAGGCACTTTGCGCGACAATCGGAACTATCAGAGCAGGCTCCATCACGTTCGTCAACTACACCTGTGCACGGACCGTCGATGACACACTTGACGCAGCAGATGGATACCCTAACATGGGAGCGCCACCGCCGTTGCTAAAATCTGGGCTGTTTAGCCTTTACATAGCTATTGTGCTATCTAGAGACTATGTAGTTCTTTAGATAGACCATGAAGCGCTGCCAATCGACCATCCGCGAGTGCAACATGTGGTGCCTGAGGCATGTTAGAGTGTCCCCACCAACCACAGTGCTGTCAGAACGGTTATCATACAAAGTGATCAATCGAACCAGACCCACTCCACTGGCATTGACTCTACACTATAAATGGGCGTCGAAGAGGTATGCGAGGCATTCGCCACCAACGATGGCGCGGCCGCAGCAGTTGCATACAGTATAATGACCGTTGCAAACATCTGCACACACCAAACGATGAAAGCTTGTACCGAAAAAGTACTCAACTATACCACCACATTCGAACGCTCCCTCACACTTGGATTATTCCTCGTAAAACTCGCCACAGAGCTACTCGTAACCGAACCACCCACTTCACCCAACCACTATACCCACGCAGGATTAATCACCGAGCAAGACAAACTCCCCTGCCCAGAATACAGACGACTCCACCTAGTCTACATCGTCAACGACACCTTCTGTGCTGTCGAAACCCACTTACGTGCCGCCCCAGACGCCCAAAAAACCGTTCAATACGACACAACAAGGACCCTTCTCAAGCAAATCGCACCATTACTCATAAACGTTGCCGCCCTCCAAACCACCGACGATGTCGACACCACAGACTCCCTCCGAGCAATGCTACCAATATGGCAGTCCCTCGACCTCCTCACAGCAGAACAAACCGCAACCCAAACCACCACCCTCCAAACAACAAACACCAACCACCAAACCCCTCAAACGCTAACCAAAGCAACCCTCCAAAACCTCACAATCCTCGAATCAACCCTCAAAGTAATCCACAGTAAAGCAAGCCTCACCCTCCCCCTTCGCCACAGCAACCCGCACGACCCATCCGCGCCATGGCACGCCCTCCCTGCCGCAAACGGGCTGTACATGCTCCGTACGCGGGGCTATCCTTTACGCACCTACGCGTTCCCAGCGGGGGGGTATCAGCTCCGAAACGGCGGTTCGTTTCTCCCCCCAAGAAACCCCAGCTAACACACCAGGCCAACCTCCCCCACCACCCCTCCAAAACGAAACCAAAGCCCTCCACACCGAAATGCTACAATGTTTCTCCAACCCGACCTCAGTTGATGACATATCAGATATCGACGAGCTGGGAAATGTTCACTGGAAGGATCCGAACCGTAAAACAAGGAATTATTGGGGGTTTGCTGTTGATGAGATTGAGAGGGTGGAGAGTATTCTGGAGGGATTTGGGGGGAAGGGGATGGGGTATGATGATTTAGGGGAGAGGAGGAGGTTTGGTAGAAGGGGATGAGTGGAGAGGGGAGGTTAAGATAATAAAGTCCATGGATGGAGGACCTCGTTGTAGAATACTGTACCGTCTCTCGACGAATGATGGGTGGTGGTAATGATGTTTACACTACTAAATTGCTGAAGGTTTGGGATCAGGGGTGAAGATTGTCAGATGAAAGTATATATTCACATTTTGTCAAGGATTAGCCATCTCGGGCTCAATGGTCTAGTGGTATGATTCTTGCTTTGGGTGAAATGCAACTTGGATGCAAGAGGCCCCGCGTTCGAGTCGCGGTTGAGCCCGCACATCTTTTTTCACATCCACCATGATGATAGCTCTTTTTTCGATGTAGCTTCAATCATCTGTCACCTCGAGTTCCCAGCTGGTAACCCTACCTTACTCCATGAGAATGTCACACACAAAACTCAACTTTACACAACTAGAGCATGTAGAATCAAAACAGTCGCTTGAACGCATGCAATTCCCTTCCGTCTATTCAACCACCTACTTCACCAGGAAATATGGTAGCTAGTGATCATATTTCGAAATCGTCGGTCCAGCACCAAGACCTCCGGCGATGATGGCACCTAGACTCATACTCCGTCGGTGGGATCTCCTTCCGCTGGCTGCATCAGATAAGCCTGACGTCTTGCGGCGCACATTACGCAGGCCGTGGTGAGTGGCTTCGCCTGCGTCGGGGTGGTGGTCGATTGCCGTGGACTGACCGAGCGGGTCTTGGTCATTCTCGCGATGAGTCGAGTTGGTGCGTTGAGGTCGGAGGCTGTTGCCTGTTGTAAATGTGCGAGCAAGGATCTCGTCAGCTTTGTGGAGGTTTTCGGACGGGAGGAGGATGGCTCGGTCCAGAGCATAGGGTAGACCACGGTGGCGACCTCGAATCATGATTGCCATGAGCATTACTTTGCTGAGGGAATGCAGTTGTGCTGAAAAGGCCGTGTTGGTGTTTGGGTAGCCGAGGCTCATGCCAACGGTGCCGTAGGCTGAGACAATCTCGAAAAGGACGGCAAACATGGTGAATGAACTATCATTCATGTCGGCCAGACGTTTGCCTTCCACAATGCACACGAGGAAGAAGCCCAAGAAGACGAACCAGAGATCGAAACTGAGCTGGCGACGTAAATGCTGGGCAATGTAGCTTGGCACGTCGTCGGACTCGGTCGCCTCTTCACCGCCGTTCCAGATGCCGAGGGATTTTTCTTCGTATACATTCGTGTTCCGCACGCTGATAGCGATAGGAAAGACGGATATATACATCATGACCAGGTAGCTGACTTGCATCGCTGGGTGAACGTCTGCAACGTCGACGACGCTGAAACCGGCTGTCCTGGTAGCGGCAGCCTGGAAGAGACCATCAAGTACTCGATAGCCTGGTGCAACCGAGTCGACCGTCTTGTTATGAAGGTCGAGTATGATGAAGAAGATTAGATCAGACCCGTTAAGGATGATCAAGACAATGGCAAGCCACCAGGTAGGCCTGGAAGGGAACATGAGGGTAAAGCAGCGGCGCGGATGATCCAAAAGGAATCGGAATTCCTCCCACAACCCACTTCCAGTAGGCGCACAAAAGGACGCGAGCCATATGATGAAGCGTAGCATACACGGAAAGCCTGTGTTGCCGATTACAATAAGGAATGCGCCAAACAGCAGGGGAACAACGGCAGTCTGGAAACTCATCATCGAGTCTGGCGTCATGGAGAATCCAACATCATTGAACATGCTGGCGGGTTGGAAGATGCCCCACCAGACAGGTTTCACGCCGCCGCTTCGTATAACTTGTCTGTAGCGGCCTTTGCCGCTCGACTGGATCCACCCTAGATAGACGATCAAGCCAAACAGATGGAAGCCAATATAATAGCAAATTAACGTCATGGCCAACGTCTTTAGTGCGCGATACTCGATGCCCCCCAATTCCTCACGCTGCTCTTGGTTCAACCCAAAGAAGGCGCTGTTTCGGCCCGTGGTTGCTTGCCAGCTGAGGTAGGGCATATGATCACCATTGTTTGATGTGAGCATGCTAAAAGTTCTGGCGATGGGACCGCGGCCATCATCTTTCGACTGCTTGCGGCTGAAGATGGACTTCAACTTGGCCCGTGTACCTACAGGTGCTGGCTTCTTTTCATCATAATCGGATCGTTTGGGAGGATCTGGCTCATCGATAGTGATGGCTCTCCTATGTGCCAGCTCAGATCCAGCAGCATGATTTGAAAGGTCGCCAAAACGACTCTGTTCTACACCAGTATTTAGTGTCTGGGTAGGTTCTAACTCAGGTTCATCATCGACCTCCTTGACCATGGCACCTTGATCAAAGTCCCGCGGGCCGGGAATTCGCAGGGTACCGCGGTGAGTGCTGGCATTTTGTTGCTGGCGCCGGAAGATCTGTATATGTCTGTCCTGGACATCAGGCTCAGGGATCTCTGACACACGTTCAAGCGGAGGCGAGTGGAGGTTACCTGAGGCCGACGGCGGCAGCTCATCAGCGAACGTGATTTCTCGGTTTAATCGTGGAGAGGGAAGACCACCAGAAAGCCCATCGTTATCTGAGCCTGGGCCAATTGTCTGGACACCTTCGGTGGGGCTTTGGGAGGCCGCATCCTCGTCAGCAGGGCTTTCCTGTTTTGGCCCTTTCGGTGTAGTCATGCCATTTGGCACCGTTGTATGATGCAAGACGGTAATTGGCCGTCCAGCAACGCCCATTTCCACCCGACTCGGGCTGGACTCGCGGGTTTGGTTCCTCTGCAGCGTTCGCGTTCGTCGTTGGTTCCTGGCCTCCTTGACAATGTGTTCGAACCGCTTCTCAAACCAGTACAGCCGCACAAATACCACCGCAGTATTGATAAAGATTGGTGTGGTAATATGCGATATCATTATCAGGACGATCTGTTGGTACAGGAAAAGGGTATTGAGGTCCACAGTGTTGAGGCCAGACTGTGTGGCGGCGCCAGTTGCCAAGAAGAGAGCATCAACATAATCAATGTTCTTTGCTGCAAACATAATAACGCTGCCTATAATGGAAACACTGACAAGGTAGACGTAATGGAGCAGGACGAAGCTGCCCTTTACCCTGGTAACTAGGGCATGAGCCTCATCTTTGATCCGGTTGCCAGCGGTTGCCAGCCGCTGGAGAACCATGGCAGCAATGTGTTGTGCCGATTGAGGACCCCGTTAGGAAGAGAAAGAAAAGAGGGCGTGTTACTAGGGTTTGGATCTGACAATTAACCTTTTAGGAAGGGCTCCCTGCCCTTTTGCGCGTGGAAACCCGTGCAGGAGGAGGTAGTTACGCCATGGTCCAGAACGTCACTCGCGACACCCGTGTTTTGCGTGAAAGGAAATGATTCGTCATACACGCTAGACCTGGTTGTTTACTTACATGAGGTCTGTGAGAAATGACGGTTCGGCCCGCTCCGAGAAGTAAAAGCAGCCCGATGCTCGAACGTGTTTTGCTTCATCGCCACGTAATCGTGCTTCAGGAAGTCATTCTCTGCATCGTTAAATAATGGTAGCATCATGGCGGGGCTATTATCAGTGAGCGCGGTGTTTTTCCAACAGTCCAGGCGTCAAGAATGCTACCTCCAGCCCAACTGGAAGTGAATGGTATGCAAAGTAGTTTTGTTAGTCAATGCGGCTGAGCCATGAAAGATCCTGAGCTTTCACATCCTGGAGCATGATGTGCTGCTTTGAAATGTTGTCAGGGTTTGTGCCAACCACTCTGAGACAAGTCACGAGGAAATCTCGATCATTAAGCTGCGCCTCGTTGCAGCAGGACTCTAGTACATCCGAGTACCTAACCACACCACCGTCGGGCGCTCTTGAACATGCGTATCCACGGCCCAAACTGTCCCCATTCCTCCGCCTTCTTCGGAGGTATGTAGCTCCCAACATCCTTGAGTATCGTTCGCTCTGGGTGGGGCATCATTGCAAGTACTTTGCCATCTGGCGTCCTTACAGCGGCAATACCACAAGGGCTGCCATTGGGGTTGTAAGGATACTCCTCGGTTGGGCTAAGGTAGTTGTCAGTATAACGTATCGGGGCCAGACCTTCAGCCACAAATGACTGGGCTGAGCTGGCGTCAAAATTTGCATGACCTTCCCCGTGTGCCGTTACAATAGGCAGTGAAGATTCGTGCATGCCGTGCAGGAAAACACTCGGTGCATGCTTGGGTGAGTCTTCGATCTTGACCATGCAAACTCGGCCTTCGTACTGTTCACTGGTGTTGCGTTCAAATGTGGGCCAGGTCTCAGCACCGGGAATAATTTCATGTAACCGTGAAAGGAACTGACACCCGTTGCAAACGCCGAGTGTGAAGGTATCTTTCCTTTGGAAAAAGGTCTCAAACTCTTTTCTGACATCCTCATGCAAGAGCACACTCTTCGCCCATCCTTGTCCGGCGCCTAGGACGTCACTGTAGCTGAAGCCGCCACAAGCGGCTAGGCCGACAACCGAAGCAAGCGAGAACCGCCCACTGATAATATCAGTCATGTGCACATCAATAGCTGAGAATCCCGCAGACGCAAATGCAAACGCCATCTCTGCATGGCCATTTACGCCCTGTTCACGCAGAATGGCCACTCTTGGCTTAGCACGAAGTGGCAGGGTGAGCGATGAGGTGTATGTCAAGATGTTCTCATCTGGTGTGAATGTGAGATTGTAACTCAGCCCGGGATCTCTGTTATCGTCAATGTGCGCTCTCTCTGCGTCGGCACAATCAGGATTATCCCGCAGTCTTTGCATTGCCCACGAAGTGTGTGACCATCTTCGCTGAAGTTCCTGTCGAGTTTTACGGAAGATGCAGTCGATTCCGTAATAGATCACAAGCTCCTGATTTGACGGTCCTTGCTCTGGTGTCTTTGCCACTGAACCAATGACTGTGGATTTAAGTGGAGCAATGACACCGCGAAACTTGTTCTCGTCCTGTTTGCGCACTTGGAACACGACACCGAGCTCCTCGTTAAACAACGTCTCGATAAGGTCCTGGGGCCTTCCGGACTTTGTAACATTATCGAGCATAATTTCCAACCCACAACGGCCAGCAAACATCATCTCCGCTAATGTGGTGAAGAGACCGCCGTCGGAGCGATCGTGGTAGGCCAGGACAATATCCGACTCATGCAACTGCTCAATGGCATGATACAAATCTTTGATGAGTTCTGCATCGTGGACATTGGGCGTGGCATTCCCAACCTGGCCAAATACTTGTGCAAGAGCGGAGCCGCCAAGAGCCTTCTTATCGGCGGCAAGATCGACGAACATCAAAATCGTTTCACCAACATCTTCAACTCTGCGAAG